AAAATAGGCGGTCCTGGCGGTGGAACTGTCGGCGTGCGTCCTGTAGGTATACCTGTAGGTCTAGCTGCCGCACCCGTGCCCGTAGCAATCTCAAATCTTGATGGCTCTCGCTGCGTATTGTTGTACGTATGATGGCCTCTCCTCGCAATAGTAGGCCGGCCGCGCCGGCGCTCAACAACAGCAGGATCCTCTACATCCTCAAAAGGCCCAAAAGGAATAGCTAGCTGATGTCCTCCTGGCCGAACAAACCACCAATAGTAATCTATCTCTTCCGGTTGTATATAGAGCACCGGATCTAGCCAATTTGCAAGCGCTCGGTGTAGAGGATTATACAGTTTGTGCGCACACGGAATGCCATAGATAGACTCAAACGTTTAAGTATAATTAAGTGGGTTGTATTCATTTAATTTGGCCTTTTAGAGCTGCTTCTTAAGGAGAACAAGCGCCTGCGGCGTCACCTTTTAATATAGGTTACGGAATTCGGGTTCTTTAACATCATGCGGAGTATAGGCGTGATATTTAGCCATCTTATCTTCGAACTTAGACCTGGAGTTAAGGATAAGGTTCTGTATATTAAGGAGAACGTCGAATAGATGGCCAGTTAACACCTGAAGGAAGCCCTTAAGTAGGCCGTGCAAGCCCTCGTTTCGCGATGTAACTCTGTGAGAAATCGAATCAGCATTATACATCTCTGCTACTTCCTTGTTTCTCAGTTATTCTTTAAGCTATACTCTTGTCCTCTTCAGCGCTGCCTGTTCAGCACGTACGTAGACCCTGTGCAAAGTTTAGGCATCAAATTCAGATATCTTAGTGTTAAGAAAAATCACTTACGTAGTACTAAAGTGCCGCACCTTACGGGTGTAGCAGGTGGCCCAATTCCACCTGCATAGCCACCACTTATTCTCCATATACATCACCAGGTTAGGGCGCTCCTCGTAGTCGTTAAGTAGCTTCTTCCAAGCCTTATTGAATTAAGCCATAACTTCCAGCTTCATCGTGGCGGTCCAACGGGTAAGGAACTGCCCCCTTTTCTCCTGTTCCTTCTTCTGAATAGCTTCCTTCTCTTCATCTGATGTAGGCGCAGGTGGCGCGCTGCCTGCGGCGTGCGTAGGTTCCTCCTTGTACACCTCAGCCAGTTTGGTGACGATATTCTTTTCAATGTGCCATACACAGAGGAGGCGCGCGACCGTAGGCCATCGTTGACGTAGTGCGTTCCTTAGAGCTTGTTCTTTATCCGTTAAGAAAACGCGTGGAACAAGAGAATAGCGCTCAAAGAGCTCGAAGAGCTGCAGTACTGCCCAGTCGTAGTTCGCCTCCTTCTCTTTTGGCAGGAAACAATAGGCAATTTCGAAGTTGTTGCTAGTACACGTGACGCCGGTAATATGCAGGAAGGGCATACCGAATCTATTGGTTTTGTAGGTGCAATCCAATAGAATAACGTCGTGATTAGCCCGTAGGATCTCGATAGAATCCGGATGGGCAAAGAAGAGGTGTTCAATTCGGTTCTGCTCATCTTTTGTGAAGTTGTATACGTACTTCCTATCACGGCCGTCAGGTGCCGGGAATGTAGAGGTTTCTAACGTATGGAGGAGCGCCTGGATAGGCGTGAGGCCGCCGAGAAGCTCGTTCCTATACCGGGTGCGCTCATTGGTGATGTCGTGCGCCGTGATAGTAACCCCTTTCTTCAACAGCTTTGTATACGTCT